AGCCTTTGGAGTTCCAAGTTGGAGATCGAGTACTACTGAAAGTATCACCTTGGAAGGGATTAATATTTTTTGGAAAAGATGGGAAATTAAATCCAAGGTATATCAGACCATTCGAAATCCTCGCCAGGATTGGCCCGGTGGCATACAAGCTACGATTACCGCAGGAACTCAACCACGTTCATCCTACCTTTCATGTGTCAAACTTAAAGAAATGTTTGTTTGATGAGATCCTTGTCATTCCTTTGGAAGAAATTGAGATCAATGAGAACCTCCACTTCATAGAGGAACCTGTTGAAATCATAGATCTAGAGGTCAAATCGACGAAATAAAGCCGCATTCCCATTGTAAAGGTCCGATGGAACGCCAAGCGAGGACCCGAATTTACTTGGGAACGTGAGGACCAAATGAAGCAAAAATATCCACATTTATTCCCCAACACTTGAAGTCCCACTCAAAATGCAAATTTCGGGACGAAATTCGTTCTAGTGGGGGGATAATGTGACAACCGTCAAATTCAAGTCAAAGTCAAAGTCAACAAGTCAAACCGGTCAAACTTAACTAGTACTTGTATGTTAAAAGTTATTCTATAAAAATGTGCATTCGTATGTCAAGAATTCAAGTGTCTCGGGAATTTTATGTGTTTAACGATTTAAAAACCCTAAGAAGGGAGTTAAACGCATCAAAACACGACTATGGACCCTTTTGGGGACTTAAAACAATCATAAACGAAGCATAACGGGGTTCACGAACCTTGCATTACGAGTTTATACAATAATAATGGCTAAAATTAAATCTCTCCCAAATCTCTCTCAAAATCTCTCTCAACTTTTTATAGTCATCCGGGTCATCCCGGCCCTTAACTTGGCCAAAAACCGCTTGAAACGGGAAGTTTACTTGAAAAACAGCTAAATAGGGCCGAAACCTCTAGGAACCGAACCCATAGGGACCGAACTGCTTAAGGACCGAAAGTCCCTTTGAGAACCGAACTTAGCCTCTCAGGATCGAACCCTCCCAGTCTCGGACCGAACCTCAAGAACACCCGAAATGAACCGAGCCCTCGGTCCATTTCGCTTCCCTATCACCTTCGGGCCCGAGCCTCCCCTTCGGTTCCTTCTCCCCACTTTCGGTCCTCAACACCAAAGAACCGAACCCCTCGCAGGTTCGCTCCTATTGTCCGGTTTTCGACTACTTTCGCCTGTTAAGCCCGTTTTTGACGTGGATTTTTCACCAAATTCATATTTTTATCATTTTAAACTCCCTAAACTCATATTTTATTCATATCTCAAGGATTTATTAATTATAAATCATTATTTTACAATAAAGAAAATAGCCTAGAATATCAAGTGGGTCAAGTGTGCCCACTTGCCTTCCATGTGTCACCTCCTCATTAGCCAACCTTATCCATATCACACAAACCAAGGCAAACATCCTATCAATCTTGCAAGTTGCTCCAGCAACCTCCTATATAAAGAAATCCCTGGAGGATTTCTTGGTTTGCCTTGATCATTTCCTTCACCATCAAACGCTTACACTTCTCTTACCCCTCAAGAAAGCTTCTTTTCCTCTCTACTTCCAGCCACTTTTTGAAGGAGTCTTGAGCTATTACTTCACTTTTTGGTAAGTATTTCATCTAAACTCAAGTGTTATTCCATGTTTTCTTAACATCCTTGAATCATCTACACACATTTTAACACCGAAAATCGTTCTTAGGATCATCCAACGATTCACGTGTTCATCAAGTGTTCTTGACTTGATACTCCTCGTCTTCAACCTTCCACTCTTCAAGAAATCACTCAAGGTGAGTTCATACCCCTACATTTTCCAGCTTTCTTTATTTTTCAGGGGGGGGGGGGGGGAATACAAGTTAAAACACCAAAACATATTTAAAACTTAACTTGACAGCTTACAACATAAAAGTTGTGACCTGTTCACGAACTGTTTTACCCAACTTAAACTTAATATTTTTCAAAACTGTTTAACATGCAAATAGTTCAGGTTTATACCTTTAAAATGGCTATTTGCACATCTCCATACGATTTTTATACAATTTATGGTGATTTTTACAAAACTGCCTATCACTGCAGTAACAAAATCGGACCAAGCTGTGAAGATGAACATTTTCACACTGGTTTGAGACCACCAAAAATTATAGGAAAATTTATGAATATAGTAGACTCTTTTTCCAAACTCTCAGAGTTTACGGATTCAGTTTCGACTTACGATGATTTTTCTATAAATATTCTAAAACAGGGACAGTTAAGGGTAAAACTGTCAAAAACATGTTTAAGAGTTATTCACACATTGTAACATGCTGAGCAAGGTGTGTACGATTTACACTTAGTATTTTCAATGTCATTTTTATTGAAATACAAAGTCATGCATAACAAGGATTCATTACACGTAAAACACACTTGATAAACTATAATAGGTATAGTTTGAACACTTCGTTTAACAAAGAGATAGCAACACAATCGATTTACAAAACGGGTATTTCATTACAAACTACATGAACTTGTTAAAGAATAAATTTGTGAGTCATTCACCTTCAGGGTACTCTTAAGTACAACCGAAAAGTCCTGTAGTTATAACCAGAATCTCTTGTAGGGAGAGCGTGATAGTTGTGTATAGATCTATATTGGGTCTGACAAACCCGCACCTAAGCTGCTTGCAACAGCTAGACCGGCAGGTCTGGGGTGACAAATGTCATAACATTCCGACGCCCGAAGAACGTCGAGTACGAGGCCTTCGAGTTTTAGCATGGTTATAACAACTCACATGGGGAATTAACAAAACACACCGTTCACGGAGATTTACGAATTTTACAAAAAAGAAGTTTTATTTAAATATAAAACCACACATAAGTATGACGATTTACTTACATACACTAAGTCTTGGTTCAGTTAAGACTACAATAAACCTTTTAGAAAATATTGGATTTTCTGGAAACAAACTTGCAACAAACTTTAAGGAACAACATCCATTTTTCATTCATAAATTGCTTATGAACTCACCAGCTTTAATGCTGATACTCTTTCAAAAACAACTTGTATTCTCAGGTATTCAGTAATACAGGTAACCACAAGAATTTGAAGGCAAGACGCTAAGACGCATATTTTTGAGCTATTTTGACATCATATGTAATTTATTTGGAAACATGTATATTTGCAACGATGTAACCTTTTAAATTATATTTATGATGGTTGTGTTTACTTTCTTCACTATGGTTATGATACTGAGCATGACGTCCTCCGCCCCCGAACGTTTATTTTACATTTTCCATAATTAAAAAAAAACAAAAAAGAAAATATAAACCTAATTTAATACCCCCACCCCATAGACATACTTCAATCTCTCTCTCTCTCTCTCTCTCTCTCTCTCTCTTCTCTCTCTCTCTCTCTCTCTCTCTCTCTCTCACACACACATTGGAAATCAGCGATGCCATCTCCAGAAACTACCGCCGGAGAATCAAAATGCCACCACCACCACAACCTGGAAAATGAGTTTAGAGAGGCGGCATCGTCTATTTCCTTCTCCTGCGAGCCTCTTGTGTTTGTAGAAGACGAAGGGGTGGTGAGGTTAAGACGAAGGACAGTGTAGAAACCCTTCGTCGGAGTTCACCCACATCTTCCTCAGCAAACCCTAGCTCGCCACCGACTTCGTTTCTCTCCTTCTTCGTCAATTTTAAACGCCAACACGCCACCACCAACACCATCTTCACGTCACCTTACCAGGATAACAGATCTAAACTGAGAATGACAATGAACAGAGAACTTGGAGCTATAGTTTGCAAACCCAAAATCGGTGAAGGTGAGAGCGAGACAGTGACGAAAGTTTAGGGTTTTTGACGGATCTTAACGGTGGTAACGAAGTGGTTCAGATCTACGTCTCCGGAGGTGGTTTGGATGGTCTGGCAAAAAAACGTCTCTGGTAACTAGGGTGGGTCGGCAAGCAGCATAGTCCGGTAGACGACGGTGGTCGGGCAAGCAATGTGATCCGACAAACGACACTGGTCTGACAAGTGGTGGTGGTCCGATAGAAGGTGGTGATCTGTGAGAGAGAGAGAGAGAGAGAGAGAGAGAGAGAGAGAGAGAGAGAGAGAGAGAGAGAGAAGAGAGAGAGATGAGGTTGTTTAATTTTAAATAAAAAAAAATAATAAAATTTTAAAATAAATAGAAAAAGAAATTAATAAAGGAAAACCAGTGATTCGAAAAAAATTCAAAACAAATTAGATCAAACTCTTAAAAAAATCAAAGTTTTGGACCGTTGGTGCTAGTTCAAAACTTTTTGGACAAAAATGACAATTTTTAACATACCACAAGGACAATTTTAGCAATTTTGTCTAAAATATTCTATAATAAATTTTTAGGGATAACTACCAAAATAACAAATATTCTTAATTACATATAACAATTCAACATGTTTTTAATAAAATGTCAAAATGAGCACAAGGCACAGAACTTGGCGAGTTCCTTAATAAATTACGCCATAAGGTATTCAATTCTGATATAACAAAAAAACCATAAAGAAATGAAAATAGATTTTAATTAACAAACCGTCCTTATTATTTTGTGCTTTACGCTATATTCTAAGAATTTGTTAATACTAGATGCAAATGATACATCTATACGTTAATGATGAGTTTCATGATAAACAAAGCATTTAAAACATTAAGAAAAGATAGACCAAAGGAAAATAAGCACATAAAACCCCACACTTATTTTACTATATTAATAGAAAAAGGAAATGCATCAATTTTCCCACTTCGTCCAACAATACTGAGTTGAAGTTACCCGCGCTACAACATTATTAATAGGCTGTAACTATTTTGTTTCATGCAAAATGGTTGCAACCTCTATCTTTATTTTCATTTCACTATTTAAACTTCACATTTTCTAAAGGTAAGTAACGCGGCAGCGATAAATATCATTTTATCTCGAAAGGGATAATTATTTGTTCAGGAGCCCAACATAATTATTTTTCAACAGCAACATGAGAGAACTCTAGGTTGGTTGAAGGCTGAGTGATGAAATTCTTTGAGACTGTTTGGCAATTATTGCAGCAGTGGAGGGGTTTTGGTTCAAGACAACTTGGTACCCGTCACCCCAGTTATCCATTCCTTCTGCCATGACTTGCCAAAAAGTTGTACCTGAACACGAACCCCGGTTTCTTGCACTTTCATAGGCCGTGTTGAATATCCCACCAAAGTACTCATCCCTTGCTTCTACGGTGTAACCTGAAGACCAAGAGGACTTGCCAAATTCTGCAATCAGTAAAGGTTTTCTCAAGATGGAATCACAATCCTCAATATGTGCATTAATCCATTTTTCAACAAATTTAGCTCGAGCTTCATCGCTAGCTCCCGGAACCCTAAGTCAAATATCGAAATATCCACATATGTTATTCAATAAAATTAAATAACATAAAAGATTGTTTTAGTTATAAATAAGAAACATGCATTTCATGAAACATTTTTAGGATGCTAACTACGTTCGGGTGTTGGCTAGCGTGACATGCAAAGTATATATACGAACAAAAGCATTGTGATGGAGTTTATATGTCGGTATAGACTCGATCATACCATTGGTCGGGATACAGATGGATTGTAGCAAAATCCACATTGTTGACGCCGTTGTTTGTAATGAAGTCGGTCCCTACTTCATAGCCCGGATTGGTTTGCTTCTTTTCAGGCATTGATTCCCCATAAAACCCTTCAAGTCCGATTTCGAGAAGATGGTTCTTATCATGGACTTTATTTCGGCTGCCATTTCTACTATCCATTCCTGCACAAAGAAGAGATACCGATGGTTATAGGTTATGCACCATATAGTTTCATAAAAAACCAGTTTCCTCTATGTACTCCTATCATTTGAAAGTAAAAGATTTCCTTCTTTCTGGATAATTGATTCGGGCATTTTCTCATATGAACAACTTAACCGTGAGAAAACAGAGAAAACAAGAACCTGTAGAAATTTCCCTGATAGATCAGACTGGCAGCGGGGTTCGTTCATTAGCTCCCATGCAAAGATGGTGGAATCATCCTTGTAGTCAACCCCGGTGATTGAGTTGCGTCTCGTAAGAATGGTCTGTAGCAAAACAGTATTTGCAACATGTTCAAATTTTCTAACAAAATGCAAATACAGCTGTTGTAGAAAATTTTTGTGATATAATGGAAACATTGTTTCCCAAACATATATATACCTTCAAATGATTCTTATAATATCCTTTAACTACAACGTTGGTAAAGAACTCATCATCACTATTCAAGTATTGTCCTCCATGATCCCTTGCCCACTGAACATATTGTTTTTTACCTCCAAAATCATCCCAGTTATTAACCAAGCTGAGAATCAAGTGAATCCCATACTTTTTCGCTTCTGATATCACAAAATCCAATCCCTGGAATGAAAAGGTGTAGATGGTTATCACAAGTAACATAAAACAGAGGTGTTAAGTGTTTGTGATCTTGGTTATTACTAACTTTTATTTCAATATGTCCGTGTCGATTTGTCGTATGGTTGATAAGAAATTACCTTTTAATGTTTACAGATCATGTTGAATAAAAAATAGAGACTAAAATAATAGATAAAGTTACCTTAAACATGTCCTCATTGTAAAAACCGGGAGAGGTTTGCAGGGGTTTGTTGCCACCATCACTAAAAGCCCAAGTCCTAACCAGGTTCATTCCTATCTTGGAAGATTCTTGAAATGCGTCTGTGACCTTCACCCTTGTAGATGGATCAGAAGCCATACACATTAACCAGTAGGCGTTAAAGCCATTAAAATACAACGGCTTTCCATTAACCATGAAATGATGTGTCCTTGTCTCCACAAAACTATCGTTAATGGTTGACGGGTGGCATTTACCCTTGCAGTCTCCTTTTAGAACTGCATTTCCTTTTCCTGGCATGGTTAAAAATCGCTAATCTTTAATAGTGGATATATGAAATAGGAAAGTTAGTAACCAATGTTTAGAGTAATGGATGGAAAGTAGTGTGTTTTCTCTTGTCCACTTAGCTCGTCGAGTATTTATATCGCATGTCTTGTTAAGAATCTAGTTGGAAGTGGGGACCTCATCATATTTATTATGTAACTTAACGATACATATGCATCATCATTCATAAGGAATGACAAGCGACTTTGCGATGCCCATGCACGGTGCCATACTTTTGGTTGTAAGACACACAAACATTTGTTACTCCAAATGGAAAAGCAAAAGAAAAAAATGATACTGCACTATTGTAGGTATGTTATGTTTGGATACTAGATCCTTGTGCATAATCTACCATTAAAAGATTAGCTTTTAGTCGAGTTCCAAACATAAAAAATATGTTGACCAAACGAATTGTATTTAGAGATTCGAAGATGGTACTAGATTCTTTTGAAATACTATAATATTTTGTTACTCCGAGACCACATGTGCTTGAAAAATAAATATATAAAAATAAAAAACAAAAAGCCCAAAATAAACGCACAAGTCATTGCTTGTGCATGAAAAACTAGGTACAATTTGATTTATTTATCTATTTATTTCCCCACTCCTCCAAACCATTTTGTTGTTTTTTCGGGTTCCTTTTTTCATACGTTGAAATCTAGCATGTGACTTTCTTACGTTTACACATCACCATTCATGGGACATTTTGTTTCTTTATTTGACTTCTTTCAACGTCATATAGCAAATATATATTAAATTTTATGTTCCATTTTCTGTTGATGTTTTTATCACGTGTGTTCTCCAAATGGAATTTGTATCAAAGTAGATGTTATGTATGTTGCACACATCACTTTTGCATTGAATTTATATTGATGATGTCATGTTTTGTTTTTATGTAGTTAATGTAATAACAAGTGGTTGAGTAGCATGGCATGTAGCAAGTGGATGTATTGTAATCTAAACATAACTCGCTTTGCTTGTGTACGAGGTGTTCCCTATTATAATAAAACAACGGATGTTTGGGGTTCCAAAACCTATCATAATAGGCAATGTAACTGCTTAGAAGGAAATTCGATAGATCTTAAACCAATACTTTTAGAAGACTAGTGAGGAAACACTCCCTTATCATTTTTTATGTGTTCGTGCATCGATACTAAGTAGTGTATGATTACTCATTAATTAAAGTTTATTCAGACTACACTTGTACACATTATCTATATTATAAATCTTTGGTGATAAATGCTAGATGTTTATAAAAATGACCCTCACCTTATATTTATTAATTTAATTGATATTAATCTTATTTATAAAGAAAATTATGAAAATTATAAATATAAAAATAAACATACAATTGTTAGGTTTAAGACTGCATGCCTAAGATAAACATTGCACCAAAATGTCTACCCAATATTGATAAAGTATATTTCAATGGTATGACTAAAACATAAGTTTACAGTCGTTTGCGGGCCTAAGGTTAACAATGCACCAAAATTTATTCCCAATATTGATAAAGGATATTTCAAAGGTACGACTAAACCTTAAGTTTATAGTTGTTGATATAACTTGCGACCGAAAATAAAGTAGGAATTTTTGAACTCCAATTAATTTGAGTTCCCTTATATAATCTTGTAGACAAATGAGAAATAATGAGTTTAGTTCTTCTACGAGCCCCAGTTGTATTAATCAATGACTTTACTTATTATATTAAGATAACAACCTTATAATTGGAAATATTCATATTACAGATTACAATAAAAGTAACATCTTTGCCAAGACCCTAATATATGTGTATTAATAATGATTTATCTATTTGTTTAAAAAAACTGGATTTTAGATAATAAAAAAATAACATTTGCGCCAAGACACCAATATATGTGTTAATCACTCCTTAAGACTATATTTTCTTCACCAGCATACATAACTTAATCATTTATCTTCTTTATTAGGAGTTTGATGTCAAAAATAACTTAAATAGTTTTGAATTGATCTTCTTTTGTTTGTTAAAACTTAGGTAATATTTTTTAAAAAATGAATTAGTATTCTAGAAATTATATTGAAATAGGTTTAGTGGCATATTAACAAGATGTTTTTTTTTCTGTGTTAATATCACTTGGAAAAAGTGATCCAATAGCTTTGTACACTCGCACCTGACTCTCTCACACACATACACATACACACACATTTCGGTCGGTATTAAGTAATGGTTTGTTTAATTATCACAACTCCACAAACATAATTTTAATTCAAAATCAAGATCTAAAGGCATAATATTCATTGGTATATCATCACTTATATCCTTTGTCAGGATAAGTATGCGTTTAATGCAGAAAAGTCTAATTATTTTGAGATTTTTTTTGATAAAGTCTTAAATCTTTTTTTGAATAGAATAAACCTGATTGTTTAACATTTTGCCCAAATTAAGGAAAAAGTTTTTTATAATTGGAAAAGATAGATTATGTGATTTTCCGAAAATAACGAGACTTTTTTGTTAAAAAAAAAAGATTTATGAATTTATCAAAAAAAATTCCAAAATAATGAGACTTTTCAGTATAAAACTCGGGAAAGTATTTGTTCATTTAAGTATCACCACTCCCAAAGGCACAAGTGTAATACAAAATTTAGGTAAAAAATCTTGATATTTAATGATATATCATGACTTATATCCCTTATCAACTAATATTAATATTCCTCTCGTCGATGATTTGCGATCAAAAAGTGGTTTGAATACATATAAAAGGATTCACATATGTTGACGTGACTGTGTGTTTGATAAACAAAGTATTTATAACATTAAGAAAAGATAGACAAAAGCTAAGAAAACACATAAAAATACCTTACATATTTTACCATATTTATTGATAAAAATGAAATGCATCAATTTTCCCACTTCGTCCAACAATACTGAGTTGAAGTTACCCGCGGTACAACATTATTAATAGGCTGCAACTATTTTGTTTCATGCAAAATGGTTGCTACCTCTATCTTTATTTTCATTTCACTATTTAAACTTCACATTTTCTAAAGGTAAGTAACGCGGCCGATAGAAATATCATTTTATCTCGAAAGGGATAATTATTTGTTCAGGAGCCCAACATAATTATTTTTCAACAGCAACGGGAGAGAACTCTAGGTTGGTTGAAGAGCAGAGTGATGAAATTCTTTGAGACTGTTTGGCAATTATTGCAGCAGTGGAGGGGTTTTGGTCCAAGACAACTTGGTACCCGTCACCCCAGTTATCCATTCCTTCTGCCATGACTTGCCAAAAAGTTGTACCTGAACACGAACCCCGGTTTCTTGCACTTTCATAGGCCGTGTTGAATATCCCACCAAAGTACTCATCCCTTGCTTCTACGGTGTAACCTGAAGACCAAGAGGACTTGCCAAATTCTGCAATCAGTAAAGGTTTTCTCAAGATGGAATCACAATCCTCAATATGTGCATTAATCCATTTTTCAACAAATTTAGCTCGAGCTTCATCGCTAGCTCCCGGAACCCTAAGTCAAATATCGAAATATCCACATATGTTATTCAATAAAATTAAATAACATAAAAGATTGTTTTAGTTATAAATAAGAAACATGCATTTCATGAAACATTTTTAGGATGCTAACTACGTTCGGGTGTTGGCTAGCGTGACATGCAAAGTATATATACGAACAAAAGCATTGTGATGGAGTTTATATGTCGGTATAGACTCGATCATACCATTGGTCGGGATACAGATGGATTGTAGCAAAATCCACATTGTTGACGCCGTTGTTTGTAATGAAGTCGGTCCCTACTTCATAGCCCGGATTGTTTTGCTTCTTTTCAGGCATTGATTCCCCATAAAACCCTTCAAGTCCGATTTCGAGAAGATGGTTCTTATCAATGGACTTTATTTCGGCTGCCATTTCTACTATCCATTCCTGCACAAAGAAGAGATACCGATGGTTATAGGTTATGCACCATATAGTTTCATAAAAAACCAGTTTCCTCTATGTACTCCTATCATTTGAAAGTAAAAGATTTCCTTCTTTCTGGATAATTGATTCGGGCATTTTCTCATATGAACAACTTAACCGTGAGAAAACAGAGAAAACAAGAACCTGTAGAAATTTCCCTGATAGATCAGACTGGCAGCGGGGTTCGTTCATTAGCTCCCATGCAAAGATGGTGGAATCATCCTTGTAGTCAACCCCGGTGATTGAGTTGCGTCTCGTAAGAATGGTCTGTAGCAAAACAGTATTTGCAACATGTTCAAATTTTCTAACAAAATGCAAATACAGCTGTTGTAGAAAATTTTTGTGATATAATGGAAACATTGTTTCCCAAACATATATATACCTTCAAATGATTCTTATAATATCCTTTAACTACAACGTTGGTAAAGAACTCATCATCACTATTCAAGTATTGTCCTCCATGATCCCTTGCCCACTGAACATATTGTTTTTTACCTCCAAAATCATCCCAGTTATTAACCAAGCTGAGAATCAAGTGAATCCCATACTTTTTCGCTTCTGATATCACAAAATCCAATCCCTGGAATGAAAAGGTGTAGATGGTTATCACAAGTAACATAAAACAGAGGTGTTAAGTGTTTGTGATCTTGGTTATTACTAACTTTTATTTCAATATGTCCGTGTCGATTTGTCGTATGGTCGATAAGAAATTACCTTTTAATGTTTACAGATCATGTTGAATAAAAAACAGAGACTAAAATAATAGATAAAGTTACCTTAAACATGTCCTCATTGTAAAAACCGGGAGAGGTTTGCAGGGGTTTGTTGCCACCATCACTAAAAGCCCAAGTCCTAACCAGGTTCATTCCTATCTTGGAAGATTCTTGAAATGCGTCTGTGACCTTCACCCTTGTAGATGGATCAGAAGCCATACACATTAACCAGTAGGCGTTAAAGCCATTAAAATACAACGGCTTTCCATTAACCATGAAATGATGTGTCCTTGTCTCCACAAAACTATCGTTAATGGTT